TGTACATACACATAAATGACGAGAAGGAAAATATAATATTAAAAAGTGAAATTGTGTGATTTTTTTACACATCAAGAAGGTGTAAGTGACGTGGAACAAGGCTTTAACTCACATACGTGACAGGATGGGAGCCAGGGGCACAGAGGAGGCCATGGCAGTTGCTGTGAGCTGAATCACAGAGAAGCCTCCAGGGAAAGACAGTCGACGCAGCCTGGATATTGCGGGTAGTTATGGGCAGATGCCTTGGGGAAGGAAGGCATCTGGAGCAACAAGGTAGTGGCCATCAGGTGGGTCGGGATGGCTTCCCCAGGGCCCCCAAGGAGTGGCCGTGGAGATGGCCGTGACTGAGGTCAAGATAAGAACCAGAGAAACGGTCGCAGAGAGCTTGGCTACCCGGGCAGCCAGCAAAACAGAGTGTTCAGGAGGAGCCTACCGCTCCGCAGGTCCGGATGTGAGCTCGGTGATAAATTCCCAGAGCGCAGGTTCGGCGCCTCTGGCGGACGTCTTAGTCACTTTCTCATGGTTGGACCAAAATCCCAATGACCACAACTTAAAGGAGGAGCGGTTTGCTCTGGCTCAAGTTTTCAGTCCCAGAGGGCCAAGGGAGAGACAGCTGCTCATCCCACGGCAGCCAGAAAGCAGAGATGGGGGTGGGACAGCTGTGCGTGCACCCGTGGATGCATCCATTGACGAGTGCAGCGTCCCCAGATCCGTCACCTTCCAGGCACACGGGGCTTAGGGGACATTTTAGATCTGAACCGCAGCAGAGGAGGTGGCCAGTGACCAACCTCAGAACAATTTCAGTTTGCTGCTCCGTGTACAAATCATGACCTGTGCTCTTTAGGCCTTGGATTTCCACTTTTTTGTTTCTTCAGGATGCGTCGCAGTTAGTAAAAGGAAGAACGATGCCATCACCACGCATAGAAACCAAAACCTTCAGCGTTGGTGGCAACAAGATGACGTGCTCGCTCCCCTGCGTGGGTGTTTTGCCCTCCTTTCCCCTTGTTGGTGAGTGCGTACTAGTGACTAAGCACCGTACTAGGTGACTTCAAACATGCTGTCACTCGATGATCAAAACAGTTCTTTGGGAATTTCTACTTTTCTGGTGGATATGAAAGCAGTAAATATTTCTGGATAAAATACTAAAAGTACTTTATAACTGTATCACATAGTTGTGTAATAGTAAGTCACATTTAGATCCCAACTGAGAGAAGACAGCGACTCCGAGAGACGACAGGGGAGCTCCGAACCAGTCTCATCCACTCCGGGCTCCTTCGGGCCTTCAGCTAGCCCTGCTTGCCGGCTTCCCCTCACAGGACTTGCATGTGGAGAATGTTGTCCACCTGCACGCGAACTCCCTGAGATGCAGCGGCTTGCAGGCGGTGTCTCTTGCCTTGCGGGGACTGGAGGCCGTTCGCTGTGGTCACACAGACTGACCACCAGAACGGCCTCCACCCCATCACGAGACGCCCTTCCCGTGAGCTCCCCGCACCCTCTGCTCGCCTGTGCCGCTCAGGCACCCTCGTGCAGCTGGCTCAGGTACTTTTCTGCTGCCACGTCCAAGTGTCCAGACCAAGCGGGAAGCTGCTAGAGGACTCAGGCTCTACCTCTCCTCCCATTAGACTGAAGTCACCCAGGAAGTCACACCTGTGCCTCTCCCCGTGGTGTGACGACCAGGGACACCTGAAGGATTCTGGGGTGGAGAAGCTCCCCTGGAGAAGAGAAAAGAGGCCAGTTCTATAGCTGAGGGTCAGAAGCGGGCCGTGTGCTACTTCCCCTGCTGTAAGTCTGACAGGTGGTTTCTTCCTGCATATTCAACACACGCCTTGGGCCTCAGAGACTCTGTGTGATCTGCATGCCGTCTGATCCCAAAGGTTCGTATGCTAAGGTTTGGTCTCCGTGCCTCCGTGCCGAGAGGTGGTGGAACCATTATGAAGTGAGACCCAGACAGAGGAGACTGGGTCTTGAGAAGACTTCAATGCTCTTCCTGCTCAGGAGAGAGCAGGTTGCTATAAGGGAACCTGGCGTCTCCCCTGAACCTCTGTCTTCATATTCCACCATGTGATTCCCCCTCTCAGGGCTACCTGCTGCAATGTCCTCCGCCATGTTTGATGCAGCCAGAAGGGCCCCAGCAGAGCTGAGCAGACAGAAATGTTCAAAGTTTTTCAGCCTCTAAAACTGTGAGCCAAATCAACCTCTTTTCTATACAAAGTATCCAGCCTTGGGTATTTTGTAAGAGCAACCCAAAACAGAGTAAAAGAGACTCGCCAAAATAGCCCCCCAAAGAGAGCCCCCCAGTGGAGTCCTCCCACTGCAAACTGTTGAGTGCCGACAGCATACTCAGCGGCATTGCTTTTCTCTTAACCCAGAACCCCAGAGTCCTAGCTACTGTCCTCTTTTGAGTTTCACATTTTCATTTGCTTCAGAGGAGAGGGGTGCTGTGTCCCAGCCAGGTTCATGAGGGGGCGCCTCCATGCAGAGCCTGCCTGCCTGACTTTTTGACCCGAAAACAACGTCTTGAGCTTGAACAGGTTTCTTGAACACCTCGGAGGGTGGGTCCCCTTCGTTCTGACTTCCATCTGCTTCTTGTTCTAACCCAGCCCAGTGACCTGCCTGGTGTGATCATGTCAGTCTGGTTCTCACCTTCCTTCTGATCCCTGGTCTAGTCCTTCCCAGGCTCGGTATGGCTTTGTTACCTGCTCACGCTTGGCAGACTCTCGGGACAGCTGCCCAACCCTCCCCAGCCCGTATGAAGCTATAAGGAGCCCTGCAGCTCTTCCACAACAGACAGAGACGACCGTCTCACACGCAGGAGGCTTGTGGACCCCAGGCAGCTAGCCACCCACCCCGCAAGTCCCGGGTTCTTTCCGAGAATGCGTACTTAGGAGATCCAAACTCCTGGAAGCCTTTGTTTTTTCACCCTTTCCCCCTTTCTTGGGAATCCTCTGTTCTTTGCTGTCTAGGTCTTAGTCACCTCTGAGATCCAAGCATCTTGCTTTCCAGCTGCAAGGAGACCCACGAAGATGCAGAAACAAGACATTCTCCTTACGTACTGGGTACTGCTGCACCTCCTACTCTTAGAAAACGGTGAGTCTCACATTTAAAAGTGGACGAGGCGTTGTGGCAGAGGTGATCACTACTGGGATTAGTTCAGATTCTCCTGCATAGAGTGAGAGTCATCCGTTCACTGCAATCAGCTCAGCGGAACGTCTCAGGCAGTGGTTAGGAGGGGCTGCACCCCAATCGTAGCCCTACTTTCTACCAGTGCGCTGTGCGTGAGCTGCTTCTCTGTTCTTCCGGCTGTGCATTCGTGGAACGGGTAACTTGTATGGTGTGGTGGGGGACTGAAATAGTAAGAACAAAAACAGCTGGCTGTTCTTAAAATACCACCTTCTGTTTCCACAAACTCAATTTGATTCCACATCAGCCTAAGTAGCCTCAGACTGGAGAGTAGAATTTAAGAATCAGAACAGACGCCACTCCATTTCTGGGGCTCTGACACCCTGTCGTTAAGCACCCTGCCGGCCCTCTCGTCGCTCAGATGGGAAGCACGGCTGTGAGACATCATCGTAGGAACAATATTAGGTCTTCTATTGTTCTGAGGAACTTATTTTGTCCTCCATAACTTTTCATATAAAATCCCCTTCCTCTTTTGTGTGTCACCTCTAGTCTTGGTCGCCCCACTTTCTTACTTAGTTTTACTCATAATTTTGATCTTAACATTCATTTGTACTACACTGAAATTTCGGGGGGCTTACCTAAAGGAAGCTCAACTGTAAACTGTTAATTCAGATAAGGTGAGCCTGGCGTGGTGACACACACCTATAATCCCAGCACTCGGGAGGCTGAGACAGGAGGATCGTTGTGAGTTCGAGACCAGCCTGAGCTACAAAGTGAGCTCAAGGCAAGCCTGAACTGTATATCGAGACTCTGTCTTAGAAAGACAAAAAAACAACAACAAAAAACAGATAAGATGAAAGAAAAGACAGACATGTGCAGGGTGAGGTGCTGGGTTCCCAATCCCAGTTAGTAGGAAAACAAGTCACAAATGACACAAGAAAACAGACACAAAGAGGCTACATGTCCTTGTCCTATAGTGTGGTGAGGGGCAAAAAGTAGACATAACCTTTACTTTGGCTGAGCCACTGAAAGGGGAGTCTTTCCTATGTCTGTAGATCATGGCTTATACCACTTAACGTTGTGTATGTGAGCTGACATAACTTGGTTCCCAACCTTTGCCATAGCCACTGGGAGCCTCTGGAATTTAATGCCTGTAGAGTCACCTAGCTCTTGCAGAATATGCAGATACCTGGGCCCCATCTCAGACTCCTATTCATTCAGACTGGAGTCTAGGAATCTTTATTTTCCACAAGCTCACCCAGGTGATTCCGATGTAGGTGTTTTCTGCATAATATTCAGAGAAATACTTTCTAAGAAGGGAGCAAGCCCGCAAGCACAAGGTCCTGAGTTCGAGTCCCAGTACCAAAAAAAAAGATGGAGCCATACTACTTTAAGAACAAATTAACATATACTACTTTCACCTGGTCCTATAATTCCCCTTCCCCCTTTTATTTTTGCAGAGTCGGAGGTGGAACCAGGGCCTTGTGCTTGCTAAGCAAGTGCTGAGCTATCTCTCCAGCCCTGTAATTCCTTTATGACACTTTCTATCTGTATTGAATCTTCTCTGGCAGAATATGGACGAAGCTTCCCCGGCAGTCACACTAGGCCATGCAACCCCAGCGTGGGGAGGAGGTGCGAGCGGACTGACCTCAGTACCTAAGAGTACAGATTCAGCAGCCTGGGTTCAATTTCCTGTTCCACTACTCACCGCTGTGTAAATCCGGGCAACCTTCAACACCTCTAATCCTGTTTCCTTCCTCTGATGATAATAATGTGTTAAAGGGCTGTAGTGAGCGTTAGGTGCAATACCCGTGTAATGAATTTAACCAGACACGGGTAGAAGGTGTAAGTGCTCGATAAGCATTTGTTATTCTTTATGATCATCTGCAGGAATAACCTTTGGTAATACTAGCCCATCTGCTAGCACTGGATCCAGTACAAACTCTGCGGGAACCAGCATAAGCTCCACAGCTGTAACCAGCGTGAACTCTGGGACCAGCACAGCTGCCAGCACTAGGTCCAGTGTGATCTCCGGTGGGAGCAGCACAGCTTCTGACACCGCAGCCACCTGGACCCCTAGTGGGGCCAGCACAACCTCCAACACTGCGTCCAGTGTGACTGCTAGTGGAAGCGGCGCAGTCGACAACAGTGGACCCGGTGTGACCTCCGACACGGCCTCCAGTGCAGTCTCTAGTGGGACTAGCACAATTGCCAACACAGCACCCACTGGGACCTCGGGTGAGACTGTCACAACCTCCAGCTCTGGACCCAGTGTAACCCCCACTGGCTCTGGCACACCCACGTCAGTCGGAACGTGCACAACTTCCAGCAGGGCCAGCGCGAGTGCGGCCCCTCCAGCAGAGGGGGGGACGCCCGGTGGGTCCCTGAAGCCGTGGGAAATCTTCCTCATCACCCTGGCCTCGGTTGTAGTGGCCGTGGGGCTCTTTGCCGGGCTCTTCTTTTGTGTGGTGAGTGCGGAATACATGGGAAAACCCTGCGGGGAGGAGCAACAGGGTGTGAACACCACCGCCCTTGCCCTCGAGTCAGGGTCGGGGAGGAGGAGACCCGAGGGAGTTCCAAACGGAAAGGGCAAGCTGTAACCAGAGAAGCCAATGATGTGTGGAGGAAACTACTGACCTGTGAGGGCAGCGCCTTGAAAAGGAATAAAGGCCGGAGGGAGGAGTACTAGGCGAGGGAGATGGTTGGACAGGGAAGATAATTCCGGAGGAGTCCATGTTGAAGGGGGGAGGGGAGGAATATAGTTCTGAAACGATTGACTTTTCTTTTTCTAGAGAAATTTCCTGTCCCTGAGAAACAGCTTTGACAGAGCTCTCTACCGCCCCCATAGCGCCTACGTTGGCCCAGGCCCTCCGGGAAACCGTAGGCCCAAGGGGCTCTGGGGGAGAGCAGCAGCCTCAGAGGCCATGGAGATGAGTGGGCCCCCGAGTGGCCCTTGAAGCTGGAGTGCCAGGTCCTTCGGGCGGGAAGCCAGCAGGGACCAGGGACCCGCGCGGCCTCTCGTTCCTCTCAGCTTTGCGTGGGCCTCTGACATCCCTGAAAAAGGTGCTTCTTGCCCTCCCACGCTTTCAGTAAAGGAAAAGAGGGTGATACATTGGTCATTTACCTAAGAAATAAATACACCCCACATGTGACAGAGCGCCCGTGTGTACACATGAGTAGGTGTCAGCAGCTGCTGAGTTGATTTTCTTAATTAGGCGAGAACTTCCATGCTGGAATCCACTTGGCATTCAAAGTCTCCACAGTAAAATCCAGGGACCTTATGAACAACTGTGTGTCCCTGTTATCTAGTCCTCTTGCCCCAGGCAGGGCCGCTGTGTCCCCGAGACTCATGCAAGCTGACAGGAGCGCTGAACTGAGAGGGATGAGGCGGGAAGGTGGGCAGCAACATCAGTGCACACGGACTGGATTGTGTCACGCCACGAACCCGGGGCGGGACGACGTGGCAAAGGTATAATCACGTGTGCTGGGGGCGGGGCACGGGAAGGGGCACTCAAAGCCACGGTGCCCAGGCGCGTCCAGGGGCTCCAGGACAGGGCCTTGTCAGGGTGAGGGCGCCGGCTGACCTCATCTGAGTGCCGGCCTGAGAAGCAGACAGAAAGTGCTTCACGTTTTCCCAAGGGAAAAGCTTTCAACCTGCTAAGATCCAACCCTGGAGACACCTTCGGGGAAATGAGATTCTCGTAAATCCCCTCCCAGAAAGGCCAATGTCCCTCTCACAGGCAGAGGGCAGAAGACTCTGGGCCTCCAGGTCTTGGAAGACAGAGGGCCCTGCTCTGGCAGCCAAGTTGCTCTGAAACCGCAGGGGGGGTGGGAGGGCCCCTGCCCAGGGCGGAACCCTCAGAAGAGAACTCGAGTGTCGGTGGGTTCACCCCAAGTCACAGCAGCGGAAACCGCTCCATGTCCCCTACCACGGGCCAGCGGACCGAACAGGTGAGTGCTGCCTTGAGACCTTGCTGAGCCGCACGCAGGCAGCAGTCTCCAGCAGCGCCGTCTCACTGTAAGCAACCAGCAGCCCGGAGGGGGCCAAAGTGAACTCCCCGAAAGGTGCCTCACCTCCCACTGTAGGAAATAGGGCAGCATTGTGTGAAAAACGTGAAAATAAGTAAGATCAGGCAGGGGGCTCCAGTCAGACCATTAAAAAATGTAAAACGTGAGCCTCCAAGGTTAAAATTTTAATGGACAAATCGAAAAATGCTCGCCGCTGCTGAGAACAACATTAGCACCTAATCTTGGACAGCGAGTGGGAAAATAGCTCAATTAACGCAACAAGACGGGGTGAAAATCACCCAGAAAATACACGACAAATGGAACACAGATCCAGAGGACTAACTTACAAGTAGCAAGGTTTGAAACATGAGGACAAAAATAAGAGATGAAGGAAAATTAAAACAATAGAGAGGAAAAGGGCTCACCAAATACAACTGGAAATATACTGAAAACCACTGATTTATACACCTCACACAGGTGAGCTGTATGCATATATTAATCTCCGTGAACCTGCTAAGCTATCACGTGAATAACAGTCGGGTCTCCAAATATAACAACAAATGACTGGAAGGAAGGAAGGGCCCTTTGACAGAGGAGGGTGGCGAGGGAGGAGCCCCAGGCGAGCGACTCTGTGTGCGGCTTGTTCCTGTGACTGTGATTGACCCTCCCGTGACTCCCAGCACCTGGGGTGCATGGAGTTTAGAGCAGATGTCCCCGACTTCACCTACGCCTTCGTCCTGACGGCGCCCCAGCCACCAAGCACGCTGACTGGAGCAAAAGCCCAGGAAACCGCCGGTTGGGGGGGCCGGCCTGTCAGACCTTCGTGCTGTGGGGTTCACAGTGCGCTTCATGGCTCTGTGACCCACTCTCAGAGGTCCACGGAGGCTTTCTAGGGTTCTATGCCGCTGTGGGCTGTTTCACAGGCATCATTTCCCAGATCTTCAACTTCTCTGCATATTTTTTTTGCTTAAAAGTGATCGCAGGGGACCTCTGAGGTCAGCCCATCAAGCCAGCCCTACTTTTACGACTCTGCTTTACAGTCTCCCACTACTTTTAATGGTGCTGGGTCAGACGGCGGGACCTCTGCGTGCTGTCCAGTGCTCTACCCACTGAGCTATACACAAGCCCAGGCCTCCGATATTTTCTTTCTAATCCCTGTCTCATTAAGGACGTCTCTGAGCTACAGAAAAACATCAGAGTGTCAAGCAGAGAGACAACTCTAAAGCCTCCTCTAACCTAGGCATCGTACACCCAGAGAAGAGCTTTTTAAAAACTGGCTTTTCATTAGCACATATTAACTGCAGATTGCGGTGTTTCACTGGGACGTTTATATAACATACTTCAACTGCATCCACCTATGACACGCCCTTGCCACACCCGCCTGGCCCACTCCCTCTTTTCTGTGTCCCTTCCACTCTGTGTCCTCTTTCCTCACTGAGATTCCACATGTGAGAAAAAATAGGTGGTGTTCCCACTCTGACTTACTTTGCTATTTCATGTAACATGATGTAGTGGATTGATAACTGGTGGTCAGCTTATAACCCCCAGCTGAACTGAGTAAGCGTGGTACTGGGTGTGGGAGGCCAACCCGGGGATTGTTACCAGCAGCATAAGAGGTAGAACTGGAGAAGAAGAAGTTAGGCTCTTGGGAACTGAGGAAGGCTGTTGGGAGCTGGTGGAAGCTGGAAGGAGCTGTTGGTTCTGTTGGAGGAGCTCGTCATGCTGGCTTTCCTGATGAACTTGGCTGTTTTCATCCTCCAAGGAACTTGGGATCTCGTTGGCACTGAGAATAGTTTCAGTTCACTTTGGGGAAGCTCTGGTCCTCACTTTGAGCATCGCTTCCTGGCTCCAGAGAGAAAGATGGTGCATTGCCGGTCTCCAGGAGAAGCTTGCTGCATTGACTTCCCTGATGAGAATTCTGCCATCTTGATCACTGGAAGAGCTTGGGACCTCACTGTTGCTGAGGATGGCTGTGGTAACTTTCAGGGGAGCTCTGGTTCTTCTGAGCATTGCTTCCTGGGTCCAGTGCAGATCCCTCCGCCTGCTAGCACAGATCCTTCATCCCACTGGCATAGACTGTCTAGATTCTACCACTGACCTTTGGGCCTTCCCAGCGCAGTTCTGTGAAACAGGCCTGTATGAGACATTGTTATGGGCTCTGAGCCTCCAGGTAGACTCATAGAAGGCATTGCTATGAGCTCTAGGTCTTCAGCTGGACTCATGCAGGGCATTTCCATGGGATCCAGGCCCTTAGCTGGATTCATTGGTCTTAGTATGTGGACAGATTTCCTGAACTCTTTTGTGTATCGTTCTTTGGGTGACTATTATAAATAATCTTATAAAATACGTGTCTTGTATTATATTGTTCCCCTTGCAAAAACATTCTCCCAAACCAACACACATGGGGCTGTCCAGGTCCATCCATTTTCCTGCAAGCAATGTGATTTCATTCTTCATGGCATATATTACGAGGATATACATATATAACTTCATCCCGCCATTGAGGGGAACCTAGGCTGATTCCATGACATTGCTATTGTGAATTGTGCCACAGTAAATACAGACATGCAGGTATCTCTGTAGTATGCTGACTTTAATTCCTCTGACAATATGCCAAGGAGTATTATAGCGGGATCGTATGGTAGTTCTATTTTTAGTTTTTTGAAGAAACTCCCTAGTGGCTGTACTACTTTACATTTCCACTAGCTGTGTGGAAGCATCCTTTTGTCCCCATATCCTCACCAATATTTATGGGTTTTTATATCCTTGAGGACCGCCATTCTGACTGGAGTGAAATGGAGTCTCACACAGTTTTGAATTGTATTTCTCTGATGACTGAACATGTTAAACATTCTTACATATGATTATTGGCCATTTACACTTTTTTTAATTTGTTTTTTGAGACAGGGTCTCAGTATGCAGTTCAGGCTGGCCTTGAGCTCACTTTGTAGCTCAGGCTGGTCTTGAACTCAAAACAATCCTCTTGCCTCAGTCTCCTGAGTGCTGGGATTACAGGCGTGCGCCACCATGCCCAGCTATTTACACTTCTTTTGATAAGTGTACTTCATTTGCTCATGTGGTTGGGTTGTTTGTTCTTTTGGTGTTAAGATTTTTTAATTCTTTATAGGTTTCAGATTTTAATCCTCTGTCAGAAACGTAGCTGGCAAAGATTTCCTCCTAACCTCCGGGCTGTCCCTTCCTTCTTTGTGCTTCCTTTGCTGTGCAGAAGTTTTTACTTTGGTGCAATCCCATTTATAGATGCTTGCTATCATTTCTTGAGCTACTGGAGTCCAATTCAGGAAGTCACTGCCTGTGCGTATATCTTGAAGTGTTTTCCTTATGTTTTTTCCTAGCAGCTTCGGAGTTTCAGGTCTTATATGTAGGCCTTTGGTCCATTTTGAGGTGAATTCGTGGAAAGAGAGATGGGAAAGAGAGATGGGAAAGAGAGAGATCTCATCTTAACCTTCTATGTGTGGATGCGTAGTTTCCCAGCACCATCTGGGGAAGAGGCTGTCTTCTTCCAATATACGTTTTGGCACTTTTGTCAAGAACCAGATGGCGGTAGCTGCATGGGTTTATTTCTGGGTCCTCTATTCTAGTCCACTGGCCCAAGCGTGTTTTGTATTTTAATGGGGCTTCTTCCTTCACCTCCTTGCCTCATACAAATTCCTTTAGGGGCTAACGAGAGGCTAACAGACTGATCATTGGCCCTTCTGAGAGCACCCCATGAGTACAGGGCTAAGGCAGACTCCATACGGAACAAAGATGGCCGCCCCCTGTGGAACCCATGAAAACCCCGTGGCAAGTCAGTCCTCCTGGCCCACCAGTCCCTTCTGGAACATTCCAGGTCTGCGGACCCTTGCTGGGACACAGCGTGCACTCTGAGGCTCACCCGCCAGGACTGCCCGTCACTCCAAGGCCCAGCCGCTGCTCAGCACCAGCCTCCTGTTCCAGGCCACAGTTGTGTGTTTTGCGTGATTTTAAAGAGACGATGATGTGAGTGCCACGTGTACTCCCAAACGGTGAATGTCACAGCTGAAGAAGAAAAGAGCACAGGGAGGTCAGCATGTTTCTAAGAGCATGGATTGTAGAACTAGACTTTCAAATTTCCAGTCCAGTGTGAGCGTGATCTTGCCTATATTCCTTAACTCTTCTGGGCCTCAGTTTACTTATTTGTACAAAAGAGGACAATAACAGTACCCTCCTCATGGGTTTGTTGTGAAGCCCAAAGAATACTTGAATTCACTATGCAGCCCAAGCTGGCCTCAAACTCATGGCAATCCTCCTGCCTCAGCTTCCTGAGTGCAGGGATTATAGGCATGCAACATCATGCCTGGGCTGGGAGTTACAGATTTAACACTTAGGAGTCTTATAAATTACAGAAAAAATTTTTAAAAGTTTACAAATACAGTTTACAAATGATTCAGAGAAAAGTAGTAAGGTGAAAACTCCAGCAAAAAGTATTATAAATTCAATGACAGTGTATAAAAAGCAAAACTACAGAGATAGTAGACCCTCCCCATTTAACAACCGAGTTTTGTTCCTACAACTAGGTTGTTAAATGAATTGGTCGCTAAATGAAGAATTAAAACCAGACTACATGGGAAATACTTAAAGAATCAACAACTGGGATCACATCTTATTAAAATGTTTTGTACATCAAAAGAAATCACCAACAGAGTGAAAAGAAAACCCATGAATTGGGAAAAGATTTTAGCCAATTGTCTCTCAGGCAAAGGACCTCTATCTAGAACATATAAAGAATTTTAAAAAATCAGGTCTCCAAAATTCAAAGACCCAATCCACAAATGAGCATCTGGGATGAATACACACTTCTCAAATGAAGAAATATAAACAGCAAATAAACATATGAAAAAAAGTTCAACATCACTGATCATTTGAGAAATGCAAATTAAAACAACACTGAGATTCCATCTCACCCCAGAAAGAATGGCTAGCATCCAGAGATCGACCAATAACAAATGCTGGCTAGGCTGGCAGGAGAAAGGCACTCTTGGTGGGAGTACGACTGATACAATTACTATGGAAGTCAGTGTGGAGATTCCTCAAAAAACTAATATTAGAGGTCCCATTTCACCCAGTTATCCCCCTTCTGGGTGTTTTTCCAGAAGAACTGAAAACATCGTGCCACAGTGATACATGTGCACTCATGTTTATAGCAGCACAACTTCTAATAGCTAGATTTTGGAAACAATCCAAATGCCCATCAACCAAGGAATGGATAAAAAAGATGTGGTAATTTTATACAATAGAGTATTACTCAGCTATAAAGAAAGATAAACTTGAGGCTTTTATAGGTAAATGGGTGCAACTCAAGACCATACTCATAAGTGAAATAAATCAAACTTGCATGTGCCAACATCATTTTTTTTTTTTTTCCGGTACTGGGAATTGAACTCATGACCTTGTGCTTGCCAGGCAGGCGCTGTGCGGCTGAGCTAAATTCCCAACCCAGAAACATCATATTGTCTCCCTAGTATAAGAAACTGAAAGAGTAAGTAAGATCCAAAAGGTACAATAGATATAGTGAAAAGGAAAGAAACT